TGTTTTCCCAACACAATCATTAGTCTCTCCTACTAATATCCGGTAACTGGAATTCTCCATCTTCAAATCAAGATGGGACGAGTAAGGGGGTTTCCAAGCCGTCTCACCAGTGCATGGCAGGTTTCGAGCTCCTCTAGTTTTTAAGCTGTAACCGCCTGGTGAGGTTTTCTATGGTTACGCGTGTTTTGAGACCCTTCCAACGTCCGAAATCCGCTGATTTCTGCGACACCCTGACTCCCCTCGGGAGCGCCGGGCGCCTAACGGGGTTTCTTCCAGGGAAGCTGCAGAGCCTGGCTGAGAAGGAGGTCAAGGGGGCAGTGTATTCCATGGTGGAATTCAACGGGAAGCTGTTGGCCAGCATCAACAGCACGGTAGGGCTCCTGCGAGCGCGGTTCGGAGCTGCTCCCGCTTGCGTGGGTGTCACCACGTCCTCCATCTCCGGCGGGGGAGCGTGTCCTGGCTGGCGTGGGTGTCCGTGCCGGGCTCTGAGCCCTGTCCCTCCCTTCAGGTCCGCCTCTACGAGTGGACGGGGGGGGCGGAGAAGGAGCTGCGCACGGAGTGCAACCATTACAACAACATCATGGCCCTCTACCTGAAGACCAAGGGGGACTTCATCCTCGTGGGGGACCTGATGCGCTCTGTCCTCCTCCTGGCCTACAAACCCATGGAAGGAAACTTCGAGGAGGTATCGCTGAGTGGTTTTGGCCTCTTCCAGTAGGCTCTGGGCAGGGGGAAACGGGGCTGAGGGGGGAGCCTGGCTCGCCCCACCTTGCCGACCCTTTGAGGACCAGGCGGTGCGGTGAGAGCGACGTCACCCGGACGCGCTTTTAGCCGGATCCCTGTGGTTTCTGGAGGGATGGAGCCTCGGGAAACTGGGCAAGGAATCAGCAGCCGTGAGGAGAGGGGACTTTGGGGGTGCGCTCGCCGCCCGGAGCGCCTGTGGTGCGGTGGGGCACGGCGGTGGCGGCAAAAGGCAGCGTGGCTGGGGGACGGAGCGGGCGCCGGGACGGTCTGCGCGCTGCGGGTGGTGAGGGGTGGCTCTGGGCGCGGTGTGGGTGCCACTCGGGCCAGGGCCATCCCCAGGGGGTGGTTGCCTTCACCTGGCAGAGGAGGGCGGGGGGACACAGACTGGAGCCCACCTTGCTCCTGAGCATTGGGGTGGGACGAAGAGGCTGGATCACGGGCCATCTGGCCACGCTGCGTCTCTCCTCTTGGCCCCTTTCCAGATTGCCCGGGACTTCAATCCCAACTGGATGAGTGCCGTGGAGATCCTGGACGACGACAACTTCTTGGGAGCAGAGAACGCCTTCAACTTGTTCGTGTGCCAGAAGGACAGGTGAGCCGGCTGCGAGGGAGGGGGTGGGGTGGTGGGACCTTCTGGTCTCCTCCACCGTACGGCTACGGAGGTGGGAAAAGCTGGGAGGAGCGTGCCCGGCTCGGAGGAGCGGCGAGGTGGGAGCCACCCCGGCCCAGGCTGAGCCAGGGCGCTTCTTGGCTTTCAGCGCGGCCACGACGGATGAGGAACGCCAGCACTTGCAGGAGGTGGGGCTGTCCCACCTGGGAGAGTTTGTCAACGTCTTCTGTCACGGCTCTCTGGTCATGCAGAACCTGGGGGAGACCTCCACGCCCACCCAGGGCTCGGTGCTCTTCGGCACGGTCAACGGCATGATCGGTAAGGGCCGAGGGAGGGTCGCGGGTGCCCTTCCCTGCTGCCGAACCCAGGCTGGGGCTTTCCTCGGGTCTCCATCCTTCTCCGTTCCCTGCTGGAGCGATGCTCTGTCCCCTCAGAAACCTGCTTCTCCCGCTGGATTGCTTCCAGGAGCAGAAAGCGCTCGGCCTTTCTTTGCAACTCCTCCCTCCTCTGGCCTGCTGGGAGCTGCTGGGATGCCTTGGGATGGGTCTGAACCTTCATCTCTTCCTTTTTTTTTTTACCAGGACTGGTGACCTCGCTGTCGGAGAGCTGGTACAACCTCCTCCTGGACATGCAGAACAGGCTCAATAAAGTCATCAAGAGCGTGGGCAAGATCGAGCACTCCTTATATCCTTCCGCCGTGCGCTCGGGAGCCTGTGCCAGTCGGTGCCGCCTGAGGTGGGGTGCTGGTGGCTTATCTTTACTGGGACATGCTGGTGGGGGGTGTCCATCAGCTGGAGACACGGGGGGTAGCGTGTTTGCCCGGGCTTTGTGCTCGAAGAGCAGGTGCCTGCGGTCGAGGAGAGTCTGATCTCGCAGGGTTTTGAGGATGAATCTGGCCGAAAAACGTGGCTGTGGTGG